CTGGAGCTAGGGTCACTAGCCAATAGGGAGGGGCAATCTGAAGACGTTTTGGAATGCAAAAAAAACTCCCAAAAAAGTGAGTGTTGCATAGGTGTAATTTCTGATAACGCTGCAGCTCGTTCCAGTCCCTACTCGCCTTTCAACAACGGTACGTTTGATATAAGAAAAATTCGAGCTAAGCCGCAATATAGAGAGCAGCAAGCATATAGAGACTTGATCACCGATCTGAGGCGTATCAGCGAGGCTGGTTTCGGCGACGCGTCAGCCCATTTCCCATAAACTGTTGGTGCCCGCCCGCTTCAAAAATTGATGGAGAATGGACTGGCGCGCCACCCGGCCTCATTGACACGCCCCAGCACCCGAAGCGAACAAGATTATACTTCCATATGATTTCCGTAGTTATCAAGCTTTGCGACTGCTACCGTGACGACCTAGCGCTGTGGTACAATCTCGCGAAGAAAGACATAATGGCGATGAAAAAAATACCTTCATTCCAACGACTAACGGTGCAGGAAGATTCGGCGGCATGTCACTCAAATCGCAATTTGCCGTGGACGTGAACGAACCATCGTATATAGCCCTCACTTTTCGTCTTCTTTGATCCAAGATTTGTCGCTCCTCCTCGAAGAAAATTGACGAACAACGGCGAGGTTTTCCTAAAAGTAAACTTTTCAGCCACCGTCCCATAAGTTTTCCAAGTTTAACAAAAACAACTAGCAGATCACATTACGTATAATGTAGGGTTACCTAAAAGACGCCGTACTACACGCCACTCCTGCTTATTCATAAGCATTGTCTTCAGATTAGGAAAAGCTTCCCGAATCAACTGTCCAAATTCGTTGTCGCCCAGAAAAAGCTGTTCATCAACACCGGAGTAAAAGAACTCGCATATTACCCACCGGCGAGCCTGAAAAAACCCATTAATAATCTTGTTAACTTTTACCGTTCGCAGTTCTTTAGGCGAAACTCCACTGATGACACCTGTCGACAAGATTACTTTTCTTTCCGAAGCACAGTCATCCACCGATGGAATACGATGCGGCCACTGTTTCCTATTGTTGTGAAGGTAAATTGTAGCTTCAAAGCACCCCAAGTCAATACCCAAGGCAAGTCATTACGTGCGAAAAGTCTTAGGTGTACTCCCCACGGGCGAAGTCTTTTTTGTTTCCACCCCCATTCCTGTACTGTCATTTATTAGATTGTATGCAGCACTATCTAATTCGACCTATAGAAAGTGCACTGAAGTTAGGAAATTTTCTGCTATGTGAAGGATAAACAATTTTTATAAGGACAATTTCAGAATGAGTTGCGATTCCATTTGATTCTGCATGTCCTCGGAAAAAGTGAATTCAGGACTGAAAGACCGTTGACAAACGACTTATTTGGACAACTCACTTTGGGAAGCTTCAGCAGATTTCTTATTCGGCGCAGGCTTTGTTGAAGCTCTGTTCCAAATAAGTCGTTTGTCAACGGTCTTTCAGTCCTGAATTCACTTTTTCCGAGGACATGCAGAATCAAATGGAATCGCAACTCATTCTGAAATTGTCCTTATAAAAATTGTTTATCCTTCACATAGCAGAAAATTTCCTAACTTCAGTGCACTTTCTATAGGTCGAATTAGATAGTGCTGCATACAATCTAATAAATGACAGTACAGGAATGGGGGTGGAAACAAAAAAAGACTTCGCCCGTAGGGTGTACACCTAAGACTTTTCGCACGTAATGACT